ATACATTTTACCATATAAAGTTATAACTTCATATTTTTTCCGCTTTTTTTTACATTTGGAAGGGTGGTGTAAAAATCAAACTTTTGTCATTTCTTACTAATTTTGTGATATTTTTCTATCCGGAAATTATTGTAAATTCACGTTTTGGCTGTGATAAAAATCTTTTGAAATATGAAGTTCAAGTACAGGTTATTGAAATGTTATGTCTATGTAAAAAAACAATTGAAAAATAGTTATTTTTTATATACAGGGACGCTTATTCACAACTTTTCAATAACATAAAATAAAAACAAAATAGACTTGCTTGTATATAAGTCAGCTCCAGAGTGTTGCTATTTTAATTTAGGCGTCACGTGACAAATGACTTCTTTCGACGGCCAAAACGTATTGGTGCCGGATCGAAAACGATCCATAAACCTATCGTCAATGATTTGTCTTACCGAAATTATTTTTTCTTTTTAATTTAGTAACACCTTGCCTTGTACTCTCAATTGCCACTTGGCCTAAACCGAAAAGGATTAATAAATTTAAAAACAAAATATTGGCTCATCTCTTTTTGGACTGCGGACCGATTTCTTGGAAAACGGATAAATAAATCCGTTTTGTCTATAATCAGTTTAAAGATTTTTTTTTATCAAAATGGAATTAACTTAATTCGTTCCGAAATGTATTTTTAGGTTGAACGTAAATCTAATAGGATTGTTGTACCTTTTAATAAAACAAACTCTTAAAAAGGGTTTTGGGAAGTGCTTCATTTTATTTTTATTTACTTATTTTAGACGTTCTCTTTTGTTTCAAAATGTTGAGCCGCTGGTAATTTCGATATATTGTCTTCAGCTCGCAATTTTTCTACATTTATATAAGAGAGCTTCAGACGAGTTATTGTTTTACTATTAACGTTCTAGTAATCTGGTTCGGGAAAGATTATTTTAAGTTAAGTTTTGTGTTTGCCGTTATCCTTGTTTATCGTTTTGGATTTGCAAGTCTGCTTGTTATTATTATCAGCCCTTTACATTTACACTGCAGGGGCTCAAGCCTTCCTTATGAGTGGTTAAGGAGGATGGGCCATGACTCTCCACGCTGGCCCAGTGCGGTTTAGAGGGTATTAACGACTGCAAGTGCAGCCGGGACCAACAACATAACGTGCTCTCCGAAGCACAGAGTAGCTCGAGATAATAATATTATGACTGACACTTGTTCAGGACGTCTTTAACGGGAAGCTTTATAATATACGCGGGCAAAGTCGTAGGAAAACATCTATTTATTTATGTTTCTCATAGATATGTCTCTGTAAATTATGTCAATCTGTGTGCATTATTATTTTATGACGATTTATATCTAGAAAGTTTTGACATTAAATATCGGGATATCAATAAAGATCGGATTAGGTATTACCGACTTATGACTTCGTAGAAGTCTATCAATAAAGGAAAATCAAAATCGCTTAATAAAAACCTTTAACTTGTATTTGAGAATAATTTCCCATACATATTTGAGAGAATTTAGTTTATGTTACAATTGGGATGATGACTGGGTTAAAATAAAAGAAATTCTATATACTCCGTCAGTCAGATAATAGAAAAATATTAGATACGTATTTTTTTGTTTCAATTTAACAAGAAATGGCTTAGATAATAGACATTAATGTTGAGGAGTGGGGGTTCGCTACATCACAGTTTTGTAGAAAATGTACAAAAGCGTGATATTTCAACACAATATATATAATACTGCCATAGTTTATTGATCACGCGCAAAAAATAAAAAAATACGTGTATAATATTTTTCAATAATGTAAACAAAAATAAGTCTTCATCCCTATTTATATTAACAAACTTTTGAGTTGTATTTGTGGCAAGCCTCATTGGACATTGACCGTATTTTGGTAACTGGTCGTTTATGGACACTGTCTTATACTACCGTTACGTAAACTGACTGCACGTAATTTTACTAATTTTGGTGGCAACTTCTTTACTTTTTAAAGGGCAAATTCAGGTCATAATCTTAAAATGACGAAAACCTGGTCACATCCCCCACAAGCTAAACTTGCCGTGAACTTTGCCGTTCTTCGGAAATCTTTAACACCTGTCCATCGATTAATGGGCTATCGTGTTAAGTTTTAGCATGTTTGTATTGTAAGATCAGGCTTCTCCTCCAAAAGGTGTCGTTACGGGAGATTGATGGTCTTAAGAACAAGTTTATAAATTATCCTTATAAAATTACTGTCATCATATTGAAGTAGATAGATGTGTTGAGAGGTGTGAATGTAGTGTTTTGTAGTTGATACTTAGAGCAAGAGTGCAAGCACGTAGTGTATGCCAAGATGTACACTATGGTGTGAGGTTTTCGTAGAATATCATGATGAGAGGTCTGAATTTCATCATTAAATTTACTAGCATACTAACATCGTGAAATTTTGCAACGTAGCTTGATATTGTGAAGACATGCGTCCTCATTGTTTGAACTTACCTAGTACATACGTTATAATGGATGAAGATTATACATCAGAAAGGAAATCGTTAGTCAAGGCCTTCATAAACAATATCCAAGGTCTTAATGCTTTTATTCTTGTAGTCGATCTCGGTGATGCTAAAACACCAAATATTAAAGGTGATAAAAGGGTACATTATATCGCGAATAAATTAAACGAGATGCCTCATTGACTATTGAATAGAATTATTAAAATTGCAGTGGCTTTCGCTTCTCTGGGTAAGTAACGAGTCAATAATGTAACGGAAACAACAGCGTTCTCTTTCCTGTGATCTTACATAATAATGGTCTCTACCTTTCAAATCCAAGACGGTATTGTATATATCTGACTGAGTATTGAATCCATAAAGAGATAGTGACACAATGAAAACAATAAAATTATTTTGCCACATTTGTTAAAATTAACTTTTTTATCAAGGGATTTGTTTTAATAAAAGTTGATATAAAATATTTAAATATAAAAAAAACAATATTTTTATTAAAGCTTTTTCAACATAAGCTTTAAATAACAATCTGAACGAATATTACTGTTTGTACTTATACAATAGCAAACATTACGTATTTTGAGAGTTATTATAATTTTAAGTACCTATTTTCGAAGAAAAAGCAATTTTGTATTTTCAGCATTGTAAGTGAAGCCGCCTAAATCACTACAGCTAACTACGTATGTAATGCTTCGTCAGGATAACGACGTTAATATGTGTCGAAAACAAGTTTATACCGAACAATATAAACTATTGACAATACAGACTGTGAGTGTGAGTAACAGAAATTAATTCTGAACAAGTTCCAGCTGTCGATTTAATACCCATTCATCAAACATGTCATCAAGAAAACTTGAAGTCGAGAAGTTTCATGATGTTGATATTATTATATTAACACATAATAAAAATATAGGTCAAAACTAAAACAAAATTAAAATCCGTTAATAAACGACCAAGTTATAGATTATTTAAAACTGCGTGTTGCACGTTGCACGGCATGTCTGTGGCCAGCCTGTAGCGTCCCAGTACTGAACTCGAGATGATCGCACTACAAATTAAATAGAAGTTTTATTTTCTACTTATTGAGTGCTCTGGCGTTGTTTTTTAGTTATCAATGGACATTTAATTTTGATTTTTCTGTTTGTATGTAATTTATTATTTATATTTCTGTAATAATAAGAAAAAAGTCAAAAATTTATAAATGCTCTAACCTACAATAGATAAAAATATTACTTTAAATGTGTATTAAACTTGTTTAGATACCGTTTAACAAACGGGCAAGTGCGTGTCGGACTCGCGTAACAAGGGTTCCGTAGAAATATTACATTTTACTACCTTAAAACATATTCAACATTAATTTATAATATGTATTCTTAGTGAAAAATACTTAAAAAATCCACTTTGTCCCTGGCACTCTGAGATGGCACCCGAACCCATGACCTTTCGCTATCCGGGCGACTGCTCTAATGAATTCTATTGATTCCATTATTTGTATGGAAATACTTTAATACTTCATACTAAATTTGTATAATTTTTAAAGAGAATTCGAATAACTGAGTGAATTGCAGGGCAGGTCACAAGCTGAGATATCGCGTGAAGTAAATTATGCTAGCGAGCGCAACGTAAAATCGCATAACTTTTTTATTTACCTATATAAATATTTAAGACCTATATAAATATTTTTTCACGTGGGAGAGCCACGCTTCGGCATGAATGGGCTGGCTCGACCGGAGTGATACCACGGCCTCACAGAAAACTGATGTGAAGTGTTTAATCGTGTGCGTGAGGGTACCGGAGCCCCAACCCCTCCTTATTCCCTTCCCTCTACCCCTCAACCCTTCCCTCCCTATGTTCAGATTCGTCCCTCAAAGGCCGGCAGCGCGCTTGTAGCCCCTCTGGTGTTGCAGGTGTCCATGGGCGACGGTAATCACTTACCATCAGGTAAAAAAAAAAATTTTTAACAAAATTTTAAATGGAAAAAAGTAAATTTTGTTGATTTTATAATAATAAAATTTAACATCGTCGAACTGAATAATTTTCATTAGCGTCTGTTTTAAAATAGTGGGGTTAAATAGCCAATACCGTAGTCATAGAAGCATTTTATTATCTGGGAATAATCTATCTACTTTTTTTTATATTCATTCATTCATTCATGGACTCGTAGCATACCCATTTAATCTGCATTATTAACAAATCAAAATAATTTTTCAACATCAGCGTAAACATTACTGGAATATTATATGAGATACCCAAGATAGCGATAAATTACAAGGATCATTTCGTTATCGACCTTATTTACTTCAGACATTCAGATTCATGGCGGGGATTTGTAAACAAACAACTTAAAATTGCGGTCTTAAATTGGCTTATAGGGCACTGTTACAAGGTTAAGCGAATACCAATTTTTCATATTCCTTCACACAGCTTTGTTTATATTTTATATCGTAAGTATTTTTTTTTCAGCAAATCTGCAAGAACCTTTGACTATGTTAAAGGATCCGAAACAAGTTTCTTGAAAGGTCAGTTAAGATGTTGCACAGAACATCATCATCAAGACGTCGCCGTGCTTCTAGAAGTGCTGCCACATCTCCCCAAGCTAGATCCCCAAGAGCATCTGCACAGGCTTCAAGAAGAGCATCACTGGCAACTACAGAGACTGATGATGAAATAGAGATGCCACCGCCTCAAAGGAGTCCAAGAGCTAGTTTAGCTCCTGATGCTGCACTAGAAACATATCACCGAAGTCCGCGCCATTCCTTAGTTCCAGAAATAAGATCAGCTAGAAATTCAATAACACCAGATACAGCCCCTCAAATTAGAAATACTCTAGCGCCTAGTAGGAATAATTTATGCGTTGACCTAGCTTATGGTTCTAGGCTAAGTCTGAACCCACAAGATTTTAATAGGAGTCCCCGCAACAGTATTACTCCAGACATGTCTGCAAGAAGCCCAAGAAGAAGTTTAGTCCCAGAGGGCACATCATGGAATCAACCTAGAAATTCCCTTGTTCCTGATGTAGGTAGAAGTCCAAGGCATTCAGTAGCGAGTATACAAATAGATCCTGCAAGAAATCAGAAAGAATTAGATTCCAATCTACGGATAAGTCCAAGGGGGAATACACCTGATGTTCCTGTAAAAAGTAAAGATCTCCCAGAAATAAATAGGAGTCCAAGAGGATCTTTAATACCTGACACTCAAAGGAGTCCTAGAGGAAGCATTGCACCGTCGGAGAGGAGCGCTAGAGGAAGTTTAGTGACTGCTGATGCTGATGCTTCCAAAATCAGTCCGAGAGGAAGTCTTACTTTAACATTTCAAGAACCTTTGATTTCAAGGGAAAGGCGAGCTAGCGAAGATAGTCAAGCAGCAAGTAAGTTTTATTAGATTTCATAAGCAAAGTAAAATTACTTACAAACATTATTGGAAATTCATTTGTGTACATTAAAAGAACCCGTAATTATCTAGTTGAGTAGTTTATTGTATAATAAAACTATAGAATCTTTAGTTTTTTTACTTTGAAGTCTACCTATAGAAGTCAATTTAGATTAATATTTTGTTTTGAAATGTATAATTTTTGTCCATTTACTTTAAAGCATAATGACACGTAATTGAAACAAACATACCATAATCCGAGTAATGAAAACTAACCAATATTATGTATTTTTATTAGATAACCGAGGACGAAGCGTGTCGCCGTATAGAGCATCACTAGGCGGTCGTCAAAGTGGAACAGGAGCTTTATCGGACGCAGGATCCAGGCGAGCGTCTAGTTCAGTTAGTCAGGTCAGTATATTTTTAACAACTATTTCGTCTTGTAATTAACGGATTGTTTTTGTTTTTAAATTGTAATTAACTCAATTGTAACAATTGATTTAACTTAACTTGAATTTATTGTAATTTTGTGAAGCAATGTATGTTGCAATGTCCTTGCAGGACACATGTTGAGGATCATTTATATGTAAGAACATATTTACCAACATGGAGCAATAAATATTATGACTATAAAAAAAAAACTACAATTACGAATTTGAATTGGAACACGAGCGTTGGATGAGGACCGCGAGCGACTATGGCTAAATTGGCTAATCAAAAATAATGTTTGACGAATAAGTTCTTGATTGGGACAGAGCAAGATACGATAATAAATAATAACAATATATACAATAATAATACATAAATAGTATATAATAATAATAATTGAATAGCTTTTAAATAATAATTAACTAAAATCTTTTCAATTCATTAAAAAGACCATCAACACCTTAGTCTTATGTGAACTCGGAACCTGTAAAGGGTCCGAAACGTCAATAAAACTAAATACAAACGGGATGAAACCATTTAAAAACTGTTTAATTTATGGATAATCATCATCATCATCATCATCATCAGTCCTTTTTACGTCACCACTGCAGGGGCGCAGGCCTTTATTATGGATGGTTAAGTAGGATGGGCCATGACCCTCCACGCTGGCCCAATGCGGATTAGAGGGTATTAACGAGTGCAAATGCAGCCGGGACCAACGGCTTAACGTACCTTCCGAAGCACGGAGTAGCTCGTGATAATATTTTTTTGGTCACCCATCCCGTGACCGACCCTTACGAAAGTTGCTTAACGACAACGATCGCGGGCCGCGGCGCTTATCCACTACGCCACCGAGCTACTCTTTATGGATGGTGCTCGTGAAAATAGTAGTAATATAGTAACAAAAAAGGCATCATACACATATTGTTATCATGGGAAACAATCTCTAAGGTATATATTAATTCTAACTTTGGAATTACAGTTTAACTCCATATTAAATTGGCCCACCATTGGGGCTCACGGTTCTGAATTTTAATAAAAACTAGGTCCATTGTGATCACGCAACTTTAATTTTTTTTGTCATCTGGCGGTTCCAAGAATTTTAACTCTCTCTCTTGTTGTCTACTCGGATAGTTTATAACTAAATTATACTTGATATTACTTTGATCATTCAATTTAACAGACAAAGTCACAAGAGGATATATATTATTTCTTAATTAAGCTTCGATAAATTATATTACAAGTATTAGATCAAAATTTCATAATCTAAAAATAATCTGTAAGATACTTTTTAAGAAATAATTTTCCTGCTAAGTGTAATAGCAAATTTAAAATTAATTCTGGTTTAGACAGCTAAGAGCCACGTTATTTCTTAAATGATCTTTAAAAGTATGATATTATTAGATTGATCTTAGATTAAGGGTCGGATATGATTCAAAACTTATATGTCGGTTATAATTTGTTATACTTTTCGAGGTTTGTTCTCATTGCCCGATAAATTGCTTTATTTATCCCATATGGCGAATTCCCAAGGAAGGGTCGATTTCTATTGAAAGTATTTGGTGCCAATTCTGTTTTAAATCATCATTTATTTTTTTTATTTCAATAATATACTTTTTGTTATAAGTATAATTTAAGTTTTTACATTATTCTCTAATAATCTCTAATAAAAATATATATACTCGTGCATATAATAAGTTAATTTTTATTATAATAATGGATGAACTATGTCAGATCTGAATAAAATATACTACAGTAATAATTTAAATATTTCCTAGGTAATTAAAGTTTTATGTTCCTTTTGCTCTGATGTAAGCAAATGAAAACGGTGTATTTTACGCTAAACATTGAGATTGAAAACTTGGTTCCAAATCGACTGTTCACATTGTAGTTATGAGTTTAAAATGGAAAACAATACAAAGAATGAAAAAGTTATTAAGAGTAATTCTCTAATATAATATGACTAATATTATATTCTTAATCATAACATTATATTATGAAGACCTCCGTAGACGAGTGGTTCGCACTCCGGTTTCAAGGTGTCACCGTCTCTGAGGTCCCGGGCTCAGTTTTCTGGTGTTAACATTTTATATTCCAAATATAAATTAATTTCTTACGAAGGAGAGTTGACTAATTATATACGAAACTCACACGAGCAATTCAAATATACTTTTAATATAGATGAACGTCAAGTTATCAAGATCCATGATAATTAGTTACAAAACTGAAGTACTTATATTTAATAAAGTTAATGTTTTGTAATCAATGAGCTATCATTAATGAAGCCACGACTATTGTTTTAGGGTGTCGCTTATTAACTTGCTCGACTTATTTAATTGGAAACTTTATGGTTGCAATTCGAACTGTAAAACATTTTAAATTATACACCGACCCATGGGTCGGTCATATTTTTACTCGTATCATTAGAAACAATCTCTAAGGTATATGTTATTTTAGTTATTTGGAATAACAGTTTAACTCCATATTAAATTGGCACACCGTTGGGGCACAAGTTTCTGAATTTTAATAAATTGTGATCTAGTTTTTATTAAAATTCAGAACCGTGAGAATTTTTTTTCTTGCCATCTGGTGGTTCCAAGAATTTGAACTCTCTTGTTGTCTACTCGGATAGTTAATAACTAAATTTCTATGGAAATTAAGTGTTAATTCTATTAAACTTATAATAATTTGAGTGATACTTTAAATAGCTAAATGAAATATATTTTTGAATGTATACTACTATAATTTTCCATTATTACATTAACTATATTAGGACATAAAACCAAAACGAATCGTCAATGAGACTGATCATGACGTTTGCTCGAAACGGAACGATAGTAAGGAGCTAATTGATCCAATATCTAATTTCGTTTAATTATTTATAAACATTATCGTTAAAAATCTTAATTACACAGTTCGATCATAATAGTAACTTTAGTATTTATAAATTTTTACTACCCAAAAGAAGGTAACTACAGCAAGAAATTTGATTTTTCATGCAACTATCAAATTTTTTAATCAAGAGCATTGAGGTAATTTGCGTTTTTATTTTTAATATGACAATATAGTTTTTTGTTAGCATAAAAACTTCATTGTGAAATAAATTATAACTCATAAAATTTAAAGTCTGTCTCAATTTTCAATCAAACTACTTGAAAATTGTTTTCCAATCAATTGGAACTGTTGTTTTGGATTATGTGTCCTCGTAAAATCACATTGTTAATGCTAACCAACGCCAGTTTAGTTCATAATACGTCTTAAAGACAAATACAACCCATGTCAATGTCATGACGTGAATAACACCTTAGAGCGGGCTGTCCGAATTCAGAATGGTCAGAAATCACACGAACTGTTTGATTGTTCCTCGATGTACTATTGCTGTATAATTTGTGGCTGGCGCTGTCAAAACTTCGGTCAACTGTATAGACGATGGTAAAGTTAAATATCGGTTCTGAAATGATAAATGGTGTTGGAAGCTTTTAATTATTCAGTGGACTAAATAAATTGACTTAGGACTGTGTCATTAATATCTTATATTTTATTTTGCTATAACTTGAACTACGGCATTGCTCAGCAATACTAATTATAGCTACAATTGCTTTCTACAATGTTTCAATAAAACATCAAACTTGGTTGTTCCAAATAACCACTTTTTAGACAAATTTCATTCTAAGGCTTTGCTAATATTTGCCAAAATAAAAGTTATCTTATGACAATTGAACATATGATCGATGGTTTGGTAAATACAAGACAGAAACATAAACGGCGATTACTGCCGCTCAATAGAAAAAAGTTGCAAACGTAAATAGTTTATTTTTTGGATCGATTTCTAACTATACTTATAAAAAAGGTTTTATATGATAAAAAGGAAGCAACTTTTTTTTTCTATAAATGCACTTTTTCTCTTTTTTAAATGTGTGAAATCAAGGTGTTTACTAGCTCGCGCTGTGTAATCACCATAATTTTTTTTTTATTTCACAACATCCGTGCCCGAGTCGGTTGTACGTTAGTTTCAAAGCTAGTCTCATCTTCTTTGAGGTTACGGGTTAGATTCTCGTTTGGGTCAATATAGAAAAAGAACTTTTCTGTATGTATTTTCTCGGATCTGGGTGTTGTAGTACCTTCGTTGTTTCAGATTGCCCAAATCGGATTAGTATGGCGCTAGGGTACATATCTTTTTGAAGAATGGTATGTTACCATTACGAAGCAGTTATCCTTACCAGACCATATAGACCTAGGTCTACGTGGTGAGCTCGGTTAGAATTTTTGGTGCTAAATCACAGGACTTCATGATGGATGGAACCAATCCACCCATCATTCCCGGCCCGTGTGTACGTCCGAACGCGATTGGTGGTGATACAGCATAGGTATTCATAATGGATGATCCAATCGATCCAGCAATCCGTACTGACTCCGGCCCAACGTGAATTGGTAGGGTGCTGGGTACCTACCTACAGGTCTTTCTTATGCATTCATCACAAAACGTAAATGACGTAAAAAAATATTTATTTGATATTAAACTAGTCTGCTTAGGCGTATTCGTAATATTAGGAATTTCATGGTTAAGCTATGCCTTGTTCTAAGTTAGTGAAAATGGGTGTTAGTATGACAGTTAGCTAGATATCTAGATAGCAGGTATAATAGAAAAATGATTCGTATTAGTTTGAATTAGGTACATGTCAAAAAAATTACTTAATAGTGACTTCTATACTACTAACTTTAATTTCACTCATTTTAATAGAATTCGAGATATTTCTGAACATTTGGTGCTTAAAACAACGGCAATTCCATACAAACGGGTAGGAATAAACAAAAGAAGAAGCTAATAAATACACAAAACAATTGTGTCTGAAATTATGATTCTAATGATACATATAAATTCAAACTTTCTTCTTTATTACTAAAAAATAACTTCTTCTTACAGCATGTTTATGGATACTTGCGGGGAATATTAAATGTTTTTGTGCTGCTATAAGGTCTAAATGTATTTTTAGTGATGCGGGGAGTACCATCGAGAAAAGAAGTGTTAATAATTAGTCTTAATTTTAATATAAGTCATTTTTTGGTATAAATCAGTAATAATTACGCAATTTAAAAGGTAAATTTCCTTAACGGGAGAAATCGCATCATTGAAAAGTAGATGGGAATGAAAGTTTTATATAAAAAAAAGATATATCAAAAGAAACTAATTAAAAAAATACTTCCAGAATTTAGTATCAGCAGAAATAATTATAATAAATAAGAACTTGTGAATGAATTGACTTACATTAAAATGAAGACTGATTTCCATTAACGCTTTTTTAGTCGATAGTACTCAAACATCACTAAAATACATTAAGACCTTATTGCATATGGTGCTGCAATATTGTGTTTAAAATTAAAACATTAAGTCAGAAGAAGTTATTGTTTAGTTCTAAAGTAAAAAAAAAGTGCATAAGAGCAATACCTTATAAATCGCCAGAAGATTCATGTAAACTATTTTTTAGGGAGCTTGGTTTGTTGCCATTACCATCATTATACATAATAAAGTCAAATCCTGAATTTTTTGTACATCAACAGAATTGTATACGCGAACTCGTAGAAATGTTAATAGACTTGTCTTGGATGAAATTCCGAAGTCGGAAAAATACAATAAGAATTCTCTATTAACATTAAACAATTAAAGGTAAACTTGTTTAAATGGCTGAATGAATATAATATTAAGCAGGACTTGGACATGTCATAATGTTAATAATAGTTAATAAAAATAAGTTTATGATATTTATATTAAAATTTTATATTTTTTTAATAATTATTTTATTTTTATTGTATTGATATTAATTAATATATTTGCATGCTAATAAGAATAGCGAAACATATTGAATTGCCTATTTTTGTAAAACCATAAATACAATGTAATGTAGCTCGGTGCCGTAGTGGATAAGCGCCGAGGCCCGCGATCGTTGTCGTTAAACAACTTTGGCAAGGGTCGGTCACGGAATGGGCGACCAAAAAAAAAAAATTATCTCGAGCTACTCCGTGTTTCGGAAGGCACGTTAAGCCGTTGGTCCCGGCTGCATTTGCAGTCGTTAATACCCTCCGATCAGCATTGGGCCAGCGTGGAGGGTCATGGCCCATCCTCCTTAACCATCCATAAGGAAGGCCTGAGCCCCTGCAGTGGGGATGTGAAAGGGCTGATGATGATGAAATACCATGTTTGATGCAAATAAAGATCTATTCTAATAATAGCTGATAAATATAGCTTCAAATTTTCACCCCTTTGTTTGGAATCGCGATGCTTTAAGCGTCAAGTTAGCAAACACGACATTAACCAGAAATTTCTTGATTTAAAACAAAACCTAGTAGCAGGCGATCTAATTTCACTAATTATAAGTAATTGTTTTAATTCGAAATATTTCTGATAAATGTTGTACATATACATATGATACGTATCACTATTTGTCACTACATTTTTACTCACAATTTATTGACATACATAAGTCTCTCAAATTCGTTGGTGTGCCTGCTATCTTGACGCACACACAGTGTGCAAATGCGTGAACTGAGGCTGATTCCCGCAATTTTTATTAGCAAGAGGGCATGAGTGCACGTCTTTAGTTTCGATGCGTAAACGTTTGCAGGGAGTGCGGAAACGTTTTTACCTGCAATAATAAAAAAAAAAAATTGACCATAAAGAATAGGAACGACACGAAAAGAACTTTTAGTATAAAAGTTATCGAGTGCGAATCTTTGATTTCAATAACATGTGTGAAATTTTTCTATTGAGGCCTACCTCCGTAAAATAAACTAAAAATTCTGATAAATAATTTGGCACCGTGCTCGATAGATATCCGATTCGTACTCGAAGATTTTCCGTGCCAGGGGTACTGATGGCAAGTGAGCGAGCGGTGTGGCATACAAGCTCTTACTATATTGAGGATGTGACCCCATTTCTACCCCGGGGGGTTGTTACGTCACCCAATATGAGAACATAACAATGAAGTTGTGTTATTTGGCCCCAACCTTTCGTAAGAAGGCGGCGATTCCCCCGACGGGCGCACCAACTCCAGTAAAGTTGAAGATGAAAGTCAGAATAAATTATTCAAATAATTTTGCAAACTCTGTACTGATTCTGAACTCGAATTAAATGCATATGTAGATGATATCTTTATTTATGGGTTATGTGTTGAAGATCGTTTGGTTAATGATACCGATTGCTATATCAGCAATTCATTACTTTAAATTTTCATCAACCTGGATTCGTATACTAGATTTCTAAAGTAAATTAAGTGTTACAAATACGATAATAACTCTATAATATTTGGCAGGTTTCTGGTGATGAGCAGCGAAGGTTATGTGGAGAACAGGAAAAATATAGCGAGCGGGGCGGGCTTGGTCTTGGTGTTGGACTCACTACTTATGGATCGGTGGCTTACCAGCTAAAGGATGCCAACATGGAGGCCTCCGGTACAGTCGACTTTGTCTGTCGCGCTGCAAAGATCATGAACAGAACTAGTAAGTTTTATTTTAAAAACCCTATATTGTAGTGACTTGTCACTAGCCATCTTTATTTATTAGTATATATACATACATACTAATATATTTATGTATGAATTATGTTGTTTATAACTATGAAATGTTTTTGTTACTCGTTATGTGTTATATATATATATATATATATATATGTCTGTATATTTTTGTTAATAAATCTTTATTTTGTTTGTGCACCCTACTAGCATTGATTTTCCAACATCATCCTAGAGAATGCTTAAGGCATTAAGTCTGCCATTGTACTTTAAATATGCTATTAAATAAAAATATATATATACGCTTCACAATTATATATAAGAATTTGTTAAGATTCTCTCAAATCACACGCTAACTGGAAACAGTAAAAACTACCGATATTTCCAATAGAGACGTAACTTTCGCAATCGAAGTCAAAACGCACTTAACTTGAAATAAATGAAGCGAAAAGAAAACAAATTTTGCAAATAAACACAAGTAGCAAAAGTCTGTATTAAAGATATGTTTATGTTGCCTTGTATAATATACATACACCGACTTAAATTTTCTAAATATATTATGTAAATCACTTGGAAATTTGCCAATATTAGAGCCAATGTATGATAAAGTTCCGAAGACGCGCATAACTTTATTGATAACGTATAATTAATTAAACCCAAAGATCCTCAGTAGCGGTTTTGACTCGTGACCTTTCCTATCTAATCTTTCCGACCCCTAAAGCATAAGTGTGATTATGTTATGTTAATGTGTTACTTACCGCCATAGGCTGTAGAGTCTATTGTTAACGTGTGAAGATAAAGATAATTATTCCACGCGGTGAATTAAGTATCAAAAGCCTTAAATGCTTAATAAGCTTTATGACTTTTTGTTGCAGTTGTCATGACTGTGTTCCTGGCGTGTCTTTCGACGTTGCCTGTCATCATGTTGATTATGGGTGAGTTTATTAGGGCTAGGGAACTGTTGGCAGCCTTTTTAGTGGGAACTAAAAGGGTTCCAACGGGAATTCCAGCAATCAATTTAGTTATATGTTATTGTAAGTCCAAAGTCCAAAATTTTGAGTAAATTTTGTTCTATTCTGTGGAATTTGTAACAGTGAAGATACCCAGTCCCGAGATAATGTGGAACAGTTCATTTTATATATCAATCTGATCAGGAAGAGCATACAAGCGATACCTGAGGAATGGGGGCCACGGAGGATGGGTCACATTTTAATATTGTGCTATATAGGGAATGCGATCTCGTTCTCGCGAGATTTCGGCCTTTTTTAGCGAGATTGATCTCGGTCGAAAAATGGGCGAGATTTCGCGAGTTTAACGAGATTGCACTCGAGCATAAAATTTTCTAATTTTCGATTTATCTAAGAGCGGCAGCGCGAATTTATGCGATTCCTGGGGGTTGAAAAGCGAAATTTACACTTTTACAGTACTTGTGTTTTCGAAAGGGTCTTCTCGGTGGCTGGTTATCTGGCCAGCACAATAATAAGACGAATAGCAAAGATTCTTTGGACATTTTGTGCTTCTTAAGATTATTCGTAATAATGACGTGCGAAATAAATTGAATAAGCCTTTAAATTGATTGGTATATTTTGTTAATTTATTCTCTAATTTCTAATAGATCTCTGGGTACACATAGTTTTCTTTCATTGATAATAATCTCAGTTAAATAGTCAATTCAATTTAGTTAATGATTTTTATTTAGTTTTTGTATTTTTGTTATAAAAACTGTGTATTATAATAAACCTTTTTTAAATTTGATAATAGCAGAGAAGACTGATTGTTTATTTCATTTTGTATTTGATTAGATACGTCAAAATTTAGTTTCTTAAAAGATTAGTACCTGGATGACTAAGCTTTACTTGGCACTTTAGAAAATAAAAAATTAAACCTAACTAAATCGATTTATCGCCTCTGAAAGCCCCTGCATACTTAATGTCATGAAAATTGTTGGAGCCGTTTCCGAGATTATAATACAGTAATTACTCTTTTAAAAGTTTAAATAAAAAATATATTTGTGTCAATCAATGTTAAATACATAAATCTTTTTTGAAAATACCCTCAAAAAAAATGTTTATTTCATAATACCCATAATTCCTATATTTTTTTCTAATTTATTCAAATATTGTGAGTTGAATAAATATTCCAGTAAAACAGTAAACATACAAAAGTGCCAATCTCGCGAGATCTCGTAATTGGCGAGATCTCGCGGTATTGATATTCATAAATTTGCGAGATCCCGCCCGTGTCTCAATCTCGCGAGATTGCATTCCCTAGTGCTATACTGTTGGTCGATTTGAAACTTAGTTTTATTCCTTACTAGCTTTCGCCAGCGGCTTCGTCCGCGTGGTCTCTAGAGAAATGTTTAGTGGGACAAAAACTATCCTGTTATCTAAGTCACCTAATACCCTATCTGTATACCAAATTTCATCAAAATCAGTTCAGTAGTTTCGTCGTGATTGACGAACAAACATCCAAACAAAGATACTTTCACATTTATAATATTAATAGGATTACGAATAATTGTGTCAATCATTACTATTCATTAATAATTGACATTTCTATTCTTTTCAATTTATATAGTATGACTTTAATTCAAACGTACATTAGTTTTACCCCAGTCTTTCAAAAACAGTACCCAAAATCTTAATAAGTTGCATTGCGGTATTTGCTCCGCAAGTTGCAGTTACTTTGTTAATTTATTTAATAGCGACGTAGTTCTTTGTACTCATTTAGAAGTAAATGTTTGATTTTATGTACCCATGCATAGCTATCCTTATTCACCTAAATTGTTAGTAATATTCTTTATTACTATCAATGATTATAATTGTATTACAAACGATATTATGTGTTTGTGTGGTGGTATATTTATCAACAACAGAAAATGCTTCTGTAATCCGTACTCTTGTGGATTCTCAATTTTCTTTGAAACATTATCTCTTTGAATTTGTCATAAGGTTTAACGTCAAAACGTCGAGAAATACTAGAGACTTGCTTTGCGACCTTATAACGTTAGACACAAAAACTCGTTGAGAAGGGTACAGTCGCGTAGATAAGCCGAAAGCGGAATCGACGCTAATAAGATAAGCTGCTACATGACTGCACGCAGCGGCGCGACAATTTTGTCAAATGAAATTTAATTCTGAGGTGTATTCAAATAAAATTATCATCTGAATTAAATGATACGGGCGTTTTTTCATTAAAATTAAATGTCATAATATTAAACATGTTAGATTAAGCAAATATTGAGTTATCATTTCACCCGTTAACTATAATCGCCAAAGCTTCACTGTAAAAAGAAAGGGAATGGTGCATTCCACGATCAATGTTAAAGTCAGATCTTAACTTTATTTGTGTTAACGGCGTCGGTTTAATATATTGAAATATAAAGAAAAACTATTCTACGCCGAACATTGGCAGCTGGTGGAATCAATAGATGCTGTAATATATACTCTACACAGTTTGCTAATAAATCTCATCTTATACTCATTAATCTAATTAGAACAATTAATTATTAAGCATTGATTACTGTCGTTTGATGACATATGAGCTTCAATAAGGACGCTAAAAGATATTTGTGAGATCTCTTATTATAATGAAATCGCATTGTTTGCTTGTAAAGTTGTAGGCTATAAAGATATATTCATTGGTTACTAGGTATCGCTTCAGGTTTTGGAAGATTTCGTAATACATACCATAGGTCCATAAGTGGTCCATATTCGTTAATCGTTTTCACTACAATATAGCTTGCATACGGGATTCGGGAGAGTTTTGTAACGCATACTATATGGTTCTTTTGTATACCCTCTTCAAACGCAAATAAATTATTATTATTATTATGTAGTACAAAATTTACTTTTCCCGACCTCTCGACGATTCGAGGGGGGGGGAGGATTATTATTATTATTATATGCTTTAGGGTAATAACGATAACGTGGAAATTCTAAAATGACGAGTTACCAAATATTTTAATTAGATGGAACAAATATATTGCTTTTTCAATGTAATTTCGGTATTTCCCCGCATTCATTATTAACGTAAAGCACTATAAATAAGATTTTAGAGGTAACTTTGTATTTTTTATTTCAATAGAATAATTTTGATAAATTCTTAATATGTTCTGCAAGTGCCCTTACATTATAATGTCTTTTTCATTTTTTCAATTACAACTTACAGGAATTAATCAGGAAACAACTTTTTGTAAAAAAATAATTAAAATTAATATACTAAAGTGTTTTTAATTTTTGTCAATCGTAAACATGTATATTTGGTTGAATTACGTATTTTTCATCCTTATTTCGATGTTGACCGATCTTAATAAAATTTCCAATAAAATATTCACTTACAAAGAAATATGAATTTCACTTAACGAGATATCCTTCATGAATAGGTAGTCAGGTACACGTACCACCGTAAGTATCTTGTAGAATATATATAACTTGACGTTTAGTAAAAAACTTCTCAATATTTTGCTTGTCTTGAAGATATGTAATTTTCCTTTCATATAGTGACCTGTTATATAACTTTATGAACCACTGATTTACAGCAATGAACACTTTAACAAAATTAGTGCAGTGATAAAAAATTCTTGTACTAGTATATTAAATACTATAAAAGAAAAGCGCTAGTAAAACTTTGGCAATAGATGTAAATGACCTCTTGGATTTGTTGGAGGTCTTGCCAACCTTTTCGAATAAATCATTATTTTATATATTATTTGAATTTTACGCATTTCACAATCGCAGTAATCGTTGTCTTTATAATTTGGTCTGTTATTATCTTGTTTTCCTGAGACACTCCTTATTCCACAGAATGTCTAAATTAAAAGCTTTTTCAGTTACCATCCCTCAATTGGTGGTTTTTGTTGAACATACCCAACCCACTTTCTGTATAGAAATCAGATTTCTTTGATGCTAATTTGGATGCCAAAAAAGAACATGAAAATTATCTTTGAAAACAGTCGTAATTATTAATAATGAAATAAGAGTTCATGTTGCCTTTTTAAGCAACTAAGAATGGGAAGAAATGTTCAATAGCACGTTACATATAACTACAACAAACGCATTTACAATAAAGTTCATAATCATCTGAGAAAATTTGACATATTGTAATGTAATTGTTCTAAAAAATTGACCGATTTTGAAGAACTTCTTTTATATTTGCTTGAAAAGGTATATTTTCGAAGTGGTCTCATAAGAATCGGTTTAGAAGGTTCTTTGTAAACTTCAAAAATAAGTTCACGTCTCCTCCAGCTCGACATGAGCATCCTTATCGACACTCGATACCCGATAAAGTGTTAATATCAAATTTACATTTCAGCGGCGTAAGTGAAACGGTTTAATAAAGGTAGTAATTTGGAAAAGTGTTTATTTCGACATGCCACAAAGCTATAACTTTAATTTGTTACATCAAAATATTTGTAGTATTTTTAGGAAAAAAGATCAATTAGAAATTACACCATCTAATTATAAAAAAGAAAACAAAAATGTTGATGTCGTTTGTCTCTCAGAGACATTTATTAAAAGGGGACATGAACAAAATTTGACACTGAACAATTATAAAATGGGAGCATCATGGTGCCGGCAATATGAAAAAAGAGGAGGTACGTGTATTATACTCCATAAAAATAGTGATTATAAAAGGATATAGGTAAATAACAGATACAATTTCGGAAAAACATAACTGAGTGCTGCGGAATATTTATAGAAAAATTTAATTTAATTATAATATGCATATATAGGAACCCTACATCAAATATATCAATATTTTTTGAAAAATTGCAAAAGCTATTACATTATTTAAATAAAATAATATTATGTGGTATGGTGATGGTCGTAGTATTATGTGTGACTGGAACATTAACATTTTTGAAAATAGCAAAAATACAAAAATATTAACAAGCATTTTATATAATTACAATCTAACATTGCATATTACTACT